TTTTTTTGGTCAAGAAGTGAAACAGAGAAATGGCATTTAGGAAATTAAAGTTAACTCTCTCCATGTTTCCATTAGTATCATCTTGGCCCCAGAGTAAAGCTGATTTTATAAAAGATACTGCACTTCTTTTGGCATAGACACAGGATGCCAGCTACCACAATGAAAATTGTGTCTTCTGTGCTTTGTTATCCTATTTGTATCCTAGGTTAGACAAAATGCTTCACGAGTTCGACGGGGGCTTCTTTTAGAAGCCCTGTTTCAGAAATGGGACAGTGATGGCTCAGGCTTCCTGGATCTGAATGAAGTTGATGAACTCTTGTACACATACAAGGAGGGAATGGAAAAAGAATCTATGAAAAAAGGTAAAATATAAGAATTTTCTTATTTAAGTTATGGTAACAATTTAGCTTCAATGTCCCAGTACTAATGTAAATAACATATATAAATAGAGTTAAAACACTGGTTGTTCTGTCATGATTGCATAAGGAAAATCCATCTCTGCAGAGGTGACAGCTAAATTGTAATAAAGGACTTTTAAGGGCCCCAGTCATAAAGCCTCTGACTGGCCTAGTTATAGCCTCTTCCTGAAATTAAAATTATACTTTTTTTTTTTTTGGAAAGGGAAGTGGCCCCGAATAAATAAAGCATTACTCAAGGAGAAGAACAAAGTGGGAGGCCTTATACTACCTGATTTTAGGACCTATTATACTGCCATGGTAGTCAAAACAGCCTGGTACTGGTACAACAACAGAGACACAGACCAATGGAACAGAGTTGAGAATCCAGATATAAGCTCATCCACCTATGAGCAGCTAATATTTGACAAAGTCCCAAAGTCCATTAACTGGGGAAAAGACAGTCTCTTTAACAAATGGTGCTGGCATAACTGGTTATCCATATGCAAAAAACTGAAACAAGACCCATACCTCACACCACATACAAAAACTAACTCAAAATGGATCAAAGACTTAAATATAAAATCAAAAACGATAAAAATCATGGAAGAAAAAATAGGGACAACACTAAAATTACACTTTTTTTTGTTAGCATACCATAGGAAAGTATGTTTAAAGGCCATCAAGGCCATGGAAATCCAACCAGGTTCTTCTTTCAGCTGTGAAATTTTTTGTAAGTAACTAATATTTTCACAAGAGAATCCACGTTGAACATTTTCTCTGTGATTCACCAGACAAAATTGTGCCTAGATTGTTCACCTGATAGCATGAAGATATTGCTCTAATGTGGCCAAAATGCTTCCACGAAGCTGACAAGTAGAGGAGATTACGAAGTGACCCAAAGAAAACTGTGGTCTAAGAGTAAACCATTTGAAAAGTCATTTTTTTCTGACTTAAATGACTAAAGATACTTCGTTGACGTGTTTAAGTTAATGAAACTGAGTTTTAAGCCAGACAGTGGTCCAGTTTAGCAACTAAAAAAAGTCTTCTGTGTATCTGCATTTCTGCCTTTGACAGTTTATCTTCCACTGAGATAGGTTTCAGAGCTCTCATTGAACCTCCAGCATAATACAACTGGAAAGCTGGTGCTGCCCAATCCTGTCACCAGATTTTTCCCTCAACTATGGATGTTCAGCATCTAACGAAAACCACAACCATTGTGCTGGTGTTTCCCCACTAGGCTATGTACTATACCCCCAGGGAGCATTTGGAAATAGACAGGGACTTTTTTTTTTTGCAGGAGGAGAGGGTACCCCACTAGTATTTAGTGGGAGGGTGCCAGGGATGCTAAACATCCTGCAGTATACAGGCAGTCTTGCACAGAGAAGAATTGTCCTACCCAAAATGCCAAAGGTGCCCCATTGAGAAACACTAAACATGTAAATTTTAGTTTGCAATTTCTGTTCTAAATGATAGAATATTCTATGAACAAAATAATGTGCCAATTTAAAAGAAGGTTACAAGTTTTGTAATAACCTTTCCAGGATCAATTAAGCAGATGGAATTAGTGCTCACAATACTTGTGCCCCAAGTCTCTACTTATTAAACATAATCATCTAATGCTAAACTCTTCTAATACCTTCCACAGCATCCTTTGACTCACTATTTCCCTATTCTAACACGTTGGGTGGTAGCAAGAGACAAGGAGAGAAATCAAAGCAGCACACTGTCACAATTGATAGCACCCAATCTGATCAAATAATCCGAGAAGCTGGACTATATGAAGAAGAACAGGGCATCAAGATTGGAGGAAGACTTATTAACAACCTGCGATACTCAGATAACACAACCTTGTTTGCTGAATGTGAGAAGGACTTGAAGCACCTACTGATGAAGATCAAAAACCACAGCCTTCAGTATGGATTACACCTCAACATAAAGAAAACAAAAAATCCTCACAACTGGACCAATAAGCAACGTCATGATAAA